TTGAGGGGAGCCTCAAGGCCCTAAACAGGGCGAGGGCTTTAAGATTTTGGGTTGTCGGGTTCTAATTAGGTTTTAATTAGGGTTTTGATTAGGGTTTTGATTAGGGTTTTGATTAGGGTTTTAGTTCGGGTTTTAGTTAGGGTTTAGGGTTTTAGGGTTTGTTTTGGGGTTCCAGTTAGGGTTTAGGGTTCTTTGTCTTGTTTCTGTTTGCTTGCCTGCTCGGAAAGCGCTAGTGTATGCCTTTCCCGTCACATGCCTCGGCCTCAGCACGGGTTCAGAAAGGGTGGGTGTTTGCCGTCCCCAAACCCTAAACCCTAATCCCTAAACCCTAAACCCTCTCTCTCTCTCAGGCATTCGAAACGTCAAGCCTGCCAGGGACAGCTCTCGTGGCTACCCCCGTGAAAGTGTAAGCGGGACAGTCAGAAGTGTGCGAATTACGGTGAGAAAGAGCAAGCGCATGCAGCAACAGCCAGACTACAACTTCGCAGAGAAGACCCTAGAAATGCGACGTAAGTCACGGATAGCTAAGCGCCTTAATCGTTGCTGCTCAATTAAAGCTTGTATGCCCGCATCTTCAGGCAAATCAAGACACTGCGAGGACTCACAAGGTTCATCTTCGCTTGCATCATCGAGAACTCTACCGAAAGGTTGAACCGAGGATTCACGAGGTTTCTCTTCTCTTGCATCATCCAGAGCTGGACCGAAAGGTTGCATCGGGAGGCTTGCCTCACCTGAGCCTGGTTGCTCAAGCTCGCAGAGGCCCGCATCTCGTTCGAGTTCATAAATCCGTCTCTGTAAGGTTTGAAGAGAGGCCTCAGTCGTTGCCACCACATTTGCCACCAAAGTCTGAGCGATGTTCCGGCACTCATCATCAGTATAGACCCTGTGCGTAGTTTGCGTCCCCATTGACATTACCCCACCCGCACCGGATGAAGCACACTCACCATAGTCATCCGCATCATTTGGTCGATTCTCGGCCTCATGCAGATGCAGCCCGGCCCCCTGTGGTTTATGTTGATGCCACGCGCCGTCGTCAACATGCAGGGCGTCATACAAGCTGATGGTTCTTCGAGTCGATACGGCCGGATGATCGCACAACTCTTGTAGGGTGCACTTCAAGATGCTAGCTGTCATCCGATAGTTCAGTCTGGTGGATAATCTCAAGGAATAAGCCAGGCAAGACACCAGTTTTCGCTTCCCAGACGGTGGTGAATCCATTGCAGCAAACGCGCGAGCGAATTACAGAAAAGCATGCTCATTAGAGCCTCGTGGCCAAACTTGAGCCGTAGCCATTTTGAAACCCTAAACCCTAAACCCGTAAACCCTTTTTTTTGAACCCAGGCTCTGCACTATCAGCTGGGAAACAGGCATGACAATTGCACCCCTGTCTGGAAACTTTGGCAGGTACACAAATCTGAACGACATCCTAGAGCGAATCAGCATCCATCACATCATGCTTTGACTTTGTCTTCGTCTCCACCCGTAAACCCGTAAACCCTAAACCCTAAACCCCAAGGATCCCAGGAGCCCCGCGACCCTTGCAGCCCGGTTGCATACTCCTTGCCTGGGCGCAGGGAGCAAGCGCTTGAAGCGGTTGACCCCTGATGGTCCATAATTCCCTGAACGCCCCAGGGGAAAAACCAGCCCGAACCCAGGCCCTTCTTGCAACAACTGCAACAAACTGAGCTTCCCTGTTTTTCTCTCCATATCTCCGAAACATCTAAGGGGGTACATATGCCTTATGGTCCCTGTATATTCATACTATAATGACCCCCCCAAAGCCCTATTCTAATCATTTAAGGCCCCCTGATTAGGCACTTTTGGGTTTATCTTCACAGCTGGGCGACGCGGCACCAGGCGGAAGCAGAGCCCCCGCTGCACTCGGCCGGCGCGGCCCCGGCGCTGCTTCAGCGAGTCCTCACTCGGAGTTTAGGGTTTAGGGTTTAGGGTTTAGGGTTTAGGGTTTAGGGTTTAGGGTTTAGGGTTTAGGGTTTAGGGTTTAGGGTTTAGGGTTTAGGGTTTAGCCCGACTTGCCAGCTCAGGGCTAACCAACATATTTTGGGACGTTCCCCCTTATAGCAGTCCTTAATAGGGATTCTAGTACCCCCTACTATGATCCCTATTCAGGACTGTTAGTATAGGAGGGGGAACATCTCGAAACATACCTTAAGAGCCGAAGATATACTTGCTTCTGTTTGTAGGTTATGTTTATAGAGCCTCTGCTATAGGAGTGCTGAGGTAACCTTAAAGGAGCATGGGGTTCTTAAGGTATCACAAGGTTATGCTGTAAGGGTACTCTGCAAGAACAGCAGCTCAATGGCTGAGTTTTGCGGGCAAATGCGCCGTGAAACGGGCTGCCGAGCACGGCCACACCTGACTGATGTCTCGATGCTTTATTCGGCGAGTTCTTGCATACGTCTATACTTGACTTTTATATAATTCACAGCGACTTGCTTGTTTCTGTATGTATGTTAATCCGTTTTATAAATAACGCTCCGAGGGCCTACACCTAGATGGTCCTGGGCACAGAAGCGCTCCAGCAAGGCCGGCGCCAGGGTAAAATGCCCGTGATCCCTCGTCAGCCGCCGCTCCCGGCAGGTGTCGATGACCTCGGCAACATCGACGTGGCTTCCCGGCTCAAAGTGGCTCCCCCGCCCCCGCCCCTCCAAGACCCAAATTTCCCGGGGCCCTCGAGAAAAAAAAACTTCTATGATCTGTACAGGGTTAATATAAGGATTCGGGGGCCCAAGGGGAGCATTAGGACTAGCTGGGCCCAATGGGGAGCTTGAACAACGCTCGCTTTTTTTCGAAATCTCCAACGTCGGCCTCAGGAAAAAAAATACCTCCCAAACTCGCCTTCGACTCCGGCACCCAAGTCCCGCCCTTCGCCACTCATGTCTGCTGGGTGGCGATCGTGACGTCCGGCCTCGGCCGCCGTGGAGGGCTTGAGCTTATTTATACTGAGGTTGGCGTAGACCCCCAGGCGTAGACCCCAAGCAGAACAAGGGGTTTAGTGTAGGGTTTCGGGTTGAAGAAACGGACACGATGTCAAGAAATGGAGATCATGTATGGACGAAGTTGGAGCCCCCAGGTGCTATGTGCCCAAACCGCGGCTTCGAAACTGCAAAACTGCTCTTTTTGAATAAGCAGGACCGCGCGGCTACCTGCTGCTACCTCTTTGCAGCACCCTGAAACGATTGGAGCTTCCGTCTAGGGCGCCAGCAGCGTGACGGAGGTCTCGGCGACATTGGTGGCCACCTCGACTGCGGGGGGGCTTCGACTCCATCGGGCGGCGATGGCATCAGGAACAACCCGACGAGTCTGCGATATATAGGTAATTATAGCTAATTACTTCCTTTTTTAACCTGAGTATGGGCACTGAGATGAGTCCCAGTCTCAACTCGGCCGGCGTGCGTGCGTGCGCGGGTGCGCGGGTGCGTGGGTGCGCGAGTGCGTGGGTGCGTGGGTGCGTGGGTGCGTGGGTGCGTGGGTGCGTGGGTGGGTGGGTGGGTGGGTGGGTGGGTGGTTGGTGTGTGTGTGTGTGTGTGTGTGTGTGTATGTGGGGGGAAATCTGGTCGGGTCTTTCGTGTAATAACCCTAAGCCCTATAAACCTTAAACCCTAAACTGCGGGTTTTTGTGATTAGGGTCCCGACTCACCCCGAAAAAAAGAGCGTGGTTCTTAAAGCCCGCCTACACATTCTTTTGGGGTTTGAGATGGCTCCGCATTCACGCCCCCTACAAACCCCATAAACCCTATAAGCCCGATAAACCCTTTTCAATCCTATAAACCCTGTAAACCCTAAAACCCCTAAAAAACCTATAAACCCTAAAAACCCTGAACACCCTGAACACCCTAAACCCTGTAAACCCTAAACACCCTAAAAACTCTATAAACCCTGAACACCCTGAACACCCTAAGCCCTAAGCCCACCCCCGTAGTCGTAGTCTGTGCCAAGCGTCGATCACCTTTCGGGGCCCCGACGCCTCGAAGCACTTTCGCTGCTGCTCGCCTCCGCACCACTACAGCGTTTTCTGTCGGTTTAGGGTTTAGGGTTTAGGGTTTAGGGTTTAGGGTTTAGGGTTTAGGGTTTAGGGTTTAGGGTTTAGGGTTTAGGGTTTAGGGTTCAGGGTTCAGGGTTCAGGGTTTAGGGTTTAGGGTTCAGGCTTTCGGATTCTATCAGATACTGTCATCTCATGTGGGACAAGCGTGCCTCAGCTGAACGTAGCAGAAGTGATGTTGGGATCACCGTGTAAACTCGTCTCTGCTCTGAAGAAAGACGCTTTTTGCTAACGCGGTTCCCAAAACAACAGATGACATTTCCTCTTCTCCAAGCCCTATATGAAGGCCTAATTTAATCGGAGTGACTATTTTCAGGTTTCTACGTTCTGGCCATGTAGGGGCTTCCGTTGAGAGCCATTTCTTTAGGCTCCAACCCTAAACCCTAACCCTAATCCCTAAACCCTAAGAGCCTGAGAGCGCGCCGTGGAGTGGCAAAGCACGGAACCGGCTCCCTCCGCCTTGCCGCCTAGGTCGGATCTCGGGATTCAAGAATTTTGGCGTTTAGGGGATTAGGGGTTTAGGAATGTGAGGGTGTAGGGAATTAGGGGCTAGGGGGATTGGGGGATTGAGGGGTTAAGGGGAAGGCTTAGGGGATTAACGGCTAAGGGGTTGAGGGGCTTAGAGGTTTGTATGGTTTAGGAGGCTTATGGGCTTACAGTTACCCCTCCCTACCTAGCACAGCCTCCCACCACACAGGGTTCATTAAGGTTAGGGTTTGGCCTGGCTGGCCAGGTGCGAAATGAAATACGACTCATAATAATACGCCAGAAGAATCTAAGAGCATAATCATATAAGAGAATAATGACATCTAATGGTTTCAGTAAGAATAGCTAGGGCCCTGCTACAGGTGCAATTGATCTAGCATCTTTCACAGACATGCACCTCCGGTTCAAATTCATTTTGCATTCCGTGGGCCCGGCAATGAAGATGTTTCAAACTCTACCCGTGACTATCAGAAACGGAACAGCTGGCCAGATTCCACTTGCGGAGCCAGTGGGAGTTGATCACGAAGCTTTCCTCGTGTGCGAAGGGCCCGCTCCATTGGATGCGGCAAGCAATAAACTGGCTCCCAGCGAAGTTCGCCACGGGCGAGCAATCTTCTAAGAAGGGGAAGTGGCAGGACTGGAAGTGGCACTGCGTCAGCAAGCCTTAGTTGTCCCAGCACCTCGGGGAAACTTAAGGTTAACCTTTGGAATGATAAGGGGACTCTATTACTTATTACCCCAAAAGGGTTAGTAAAGGTTACACACTACTACCAAAAAGGTTAGTAAAGGTTACATACGCTACTACCCAGAAACAGTCTGCCACCGCGTCCTGGCCGAAGCCCAGGTTGCAGTACTCAAAACGGCAGGCGCTGGCCACGCAGGCCTGCAGGCCATCTTTGAAGCGGACGTTCACGAAGCGGCTGCTCCTCTATGCTCCCCTTAGAACCTTAATGAACATATTAATTATCTTTAATATCCTCTTGGTTTTTATATGAACAAAAAATAGTTCCCAAAAGGGATACAGTCCTTGGGAAGACAATGTCGCACACCTTGGTGGCGAACTCGACCTCCCGGAACTCGCAGGGCTTCGCGCAGTGGACGCCCCGCAGCTGAAGCCGCATGCCCTGGAAGGTCAAAGACTCCAGCAAGTCGCAGTCCTCCAAGCCTTGGTACCCCAAAATTTAGGGCTGGGTTTAGGGTTTAGGGTTTAGGGATTACGGTTTAGGGTTTAGGGTTTTTTTTGCCACCCGACTAGCCACAGCAATAGGGTTTAGGGTTTAGGGTTTGGGGTTTAGGGTTTCGACTTTAGGGTTTAGGGTTATAATATAGTAAGGGCACCTTTTTTGGGGGGTTGGTGAATTTATAAGGGAACCTTGAAGCAACAAACAAAAGGGTAGAGGGTACCACTGGGCTACCAAGAAGCAGAGGACGATCTTCCCCTCGCACTCGATTCTGGGAAGTGTGCGCAGCTTTGCTCTTCTCAGGCTGATCGTGGAGCCGCCTTTCGTCATGCGAAGGACCCGGCCATGGAAGTAGGTACGCTCGCACACCACCCGGTCGAAGGGCAGCGTGATGTCTCCGTGCAAGTCTGTGTGGTTGAAGATTGCGCTGATGAACTGCCTGTCCTTCCTCGCTTGGCTTTGTTTCTCAAAGCCCTAAGGAAGCGCACGCTCCTACTTAAGACGCTCTTAACCCTAAACCCCTAAGAGACGAGATATATATATATATATATACACACATATATATATATGTACATCAACAGGCTGAGCAAGTTCCGACCCGGTGTCCTATCTTCGTCACTGCCCTTGAACGTGCAGCTGTCCAGCTCAGAGTCGGCCACAAACAACCTGGCTTGGGATGTCTCCCCTTTATCCTAACTGTCCTTGATAGGGAAACCCTAAAACCCAAAAACCCTAAAACCCTAAAACCCAAAAATCCTAAACCCTAAACCCTAAACCCTAAGTTGGTACAAGCCAAAAACCTGGGTCCCAGAGCCCAGCGCGACAAAACAAATGGAGGGCAACCGTAAGCCTGATTCCTGGAGGTTCGGGGTACTTATAACCCCAAATAGAACTGTACTTATGAGCCCCCTATGTCCCCTAAGTCCTCTAAGTAGGTTATACGCAGACTTATAAGTGGGGTTAGAAGTACCCAGAAACCTCCAAGAAAAGACTCGGTGAGCTGCTCTTAGAACCACTGAACCCCAAGTCCTATAACAACCGAAGCGCTGAAGGGAGGGGAGGAACAAGAAGACCCCAAACCCCAAACCCCAAACCCCAAACCCCAAACCCCAAACCCCAAACCCTAAACCCCAAACCCCAAACCCTAAACCCCAAACCAAAAACCCCAAACCCCTAAACCCCTAACCCCAAACCCCAAACCCCAAACCTCAAGCCCCAAGCCCCAAGCCCCAAGCCCCAAACCCTAAACCCTAAACCCCAAACCCTAAATCCTAAACCCTAAACCCCAAACCCCAAACCCCAAACCCCAAACCCTAAACCCTAAACCCGAGCCACTCTTCGGCGACTCGAAAGTTGCAGTGGATGAGCTGCGACTCCTCCACGGAGGCCACCATCGTAAAGACGCCGAACCTGGTGGGAGGGCTTCAGGGTTTAGGGTTTAGGGCTAGGGTTTAGGGTTTAGGGTTTAGGGTTTAGGGTTTAGGGCTTAGGGTTTAGGGTTTAGGGTTTAGGGTTTAGGGTTTAGGGTTTAGGGTTTAGGGTTTAGGGTTTAGGGTTTAGGGTTTAGGGTTTAGGGTTTAGGGTTTAGGGTTTGGGGCTATATACAGGCTACGTCCGGACAGTAGTGAAGTTCTGCACGTCCATTTAAATTTCAAAAAAACATTCCAAGGCCCAGAAACTGCACATTCTCCATTCTTGAGCTGGTCACCTTCACCTCGCCAGCTGTCACTGTGAAAGACAAGTCGCAGTCGAACAGGTCGCACCTGTGAATCTCCTTGGCACCATGGTTTGGGGGGGTACCATGTAAGAATGATCATTTTTGTTCCTGAGTAGCTTAGGTATTCATAAAAGCGTAAAATGATTTTCAACAATGGCCGAGTCTCGATTTTCTTGACGTGGGAGTTCTCCAAGCGCAAGTTGCTGAGCCGGAGTCCGGCCAAGCTGATGCGCTCCATGATCATCTCTGACCGACACAGGCCAAGCTGGCTGAGGTCAAGGACCTCTGCCGGCGGAACTTCCTTGGTACCCCAGGAACCTTTCTATAATAAGGGCACCCTTTTCTGGTTAATTTCAAGGGAATCTTAAACCAATAAATAAAAGGGAAAAGGGCACCCTTTTTATAATAAGGGCACCCTTTTTTGGCTAATTTTCTAAGGGGGAACCCAAAAAAAGAGAGGGAAAAGGGCACCGCTGGGCTACCCAGCTTCACACACCAGCGACGCAAGGAGCTCTTTCGTGAGCTGCATCTTGGAGCGGCCAGGCAGGAGGTAGTAGTCCACGTACCTATACTCCCCTTAGAACCTTAATAAAAATAATACTGTTATATCCTCTTGGGTTTTGTATAAACAGAAATAAACAAATAATTCCCAAGGGGTATATAGATACCGGCAGGCTTCAACGCGTGCCTCCAGGTCCAGGTCCTGTATGCGCTTCGCCATCTCCATCTGGGGCAAGTTGCCCCCCTGGCGCACGCACTCCACCAGCAAGGAGAAAGCCTTGGCATTGGTGGGGCCCTCCAGCACATAGCGGCCTTGCGAGTCCTGCTCACCACGTCGAAAGGTGTCATCGTCCTGCCGTTCCTCCACCATTGCCCGCAGCACTGGGGAGACCTCATCTGTTAAGGACTTTCGTGGAACTTGTTCGCTGTACGTCTGACCACGAACCACGAAGGTCACCATGTCGACCTCTGCCTCATGCTTGGCCCGGGGAGATGGAGAGAGCCGAGACTCGGGACGAAAGCTTGGCACACTCATCTGGCTCATCTGCACTCCATGGCCCGGGCGGGCGCGAAACAAAACGGCGGTCGGAGGTCTGTATGGCTTCAAGATGATATGTATGATGCATTGCACGGCTCCTGCTATAAGACTCCTGAGGTGCGAGATGGAATCACCACATTTGCTCATTGTAATGTGCATGTTGCAACGCCTGCGAGCAGAAAAAGAAGCCCAAAGCAGTGCGGTGGATGGGTACGGATTGGGATGTTCCCCTTATTCTCACAGTCCTGAAAAGGGATTATAGTACCCCCGCCCCCGTATTATACTCCCTATTAAGGACTGCTAGTATGACGGGGAACATCCCAAGGTACGGAAACAAAAGGCTCGCAAGCGATTACGATCTATCATTATTTTGAGATTTGTTAAGAAATTTTTGCGGCAATATAGGGCTTATTTTCTATCATGTTTTGGGGGTTCTTAAGCAAAAACATATACATAAACAACTAAATAAATACATATACACACACACACACACGCACACATATATATATATATATACACATATATATATATATATATTTATATTTATCTTCTGCAATTTTACGGTAATCCAGGGATTATTTTCTCTCATTTTAGAGTTGCGACCCCTGATCAGGCAAGGCTCTCCAAGAGCCCAATCAAGCCTCAGCTGCCGATAAACTCCCTGCTTGGAGTCCCCACACAAGGAACGGGTTTGGGGTTTGGGGTTTAGGGTTTCTGCAAGCACTCTCTGCAGCAGCAGCGTTTAGGGTTTAGGGTTTAGGGTTGTTGCCAGGCATGTCCCATGGCCCTGCAGACCTTGCCGTGGCCGTGGCTCACCAGAGCACTTCGTGACACAGAGCGCAACTACGCATGTGCCGCACGCCTGGGTTCACAACAGCCGCCACATCCCTCCGGTGCCCATCCCTAAACCCTAAACCCGAAAACCCAAAACCCTAAACCCTAAACCCTGACCCTAAACCCTAAACATCTCTGTCTGCGGCTGCAGCAACGCGAGATCTCCCCCGCGCCGGGCATGAACACCAGAATCGAGCCTTCCAGTGGCCACTGCTTCGTGGCCTGCGCCCATGGATCACAGGTACCTAAACCCTAAACCCTAAACCCTAAACCCTAAACCCTAAACCCTGAACCCTAAAAGATGAGGGCTGAAAGTGCGACATCCTGGGGCCTCCTTGAGTAGAGTTCTGCAGTACCTGTTGTAGCTTTTTAAAACTTTTCGGGAGTTCAAGAGGATAACCAATTCAGTAGTTCGGCTCCTGTATATTTAGGTCCACTGCGGGAAGGACGTGGAGGGCTTTTCAGTGGGGCATTCTTTCGGCCTCCGAGGTCAAGGAGCCGGACACGATGCCCAGAATGAAGCTGCCTCTCTGATCCGCGCGACATTCGGGACCCTAAAACCCCAAAGCCCCTCAAACCCCTAAAACCCCTAAAAACCCCTAACACCCCTAAAACCACCCCAAAAACCCTAAAGTCGTAAAACCCCATAAAGCCCTAAAGCCCGAACTTGAACGATAACAGGGGCCCTGATGAAGATGATGTCCTCTCCCACGAAGGCACCAGTAACAACCTCAAAACGAATTGGTACCTGTCCGGTACCGGCTGCCACGTCTGGGGTCACCAACTAAACCAGGCCTCACAAAAACTTCAGTCCTCGCTTCAGGGCTTTGGGATTCGGATTTCCAGGGTATAGGGTTTAGGGTCAACCCCTTGTAGTTTTTAGGCTCCAGAAATTTCTATGAAATTTGTTTGGGGCTGTAGTTCAGGGTTCAGGGCTTGGGATCACTCCCTTGCGGGCCTTTGTAGTGCGTCGCTGGACGCACCACTCTGCAGGGTCCCGAACCCAAACAAGGTCTCTCCATGTGACATTGAAAACCTGTCCTGCCAAAACATCGGCAAAACCAGAAAACGAAGACCCTTGTGGCTTTTCTTGAACTGAACTTGGGGGTTTTGGGGCCGAAGGTTCAGGGCTTTAGGGCCTAGGACCCCCCATGCGATGATGAGCTGCACAGCAAGTCGTAGTCGGTGGAGCCAGGTGGTCGCAAAGCCTGATGTGAAGCTCTGCTTGGGATAGTTCTCGGAATTAAGGCCCGCTTTGGTATCCGTGGTAGTAGGAAAAGCTTCAAGAGGCACAGAAAGATGTAGAGACACTGTTTACGCGGGACATAGAAGGAGCTTATTGCTTTGGGGCTTCTGATCTTCTGCAGGACGTACTGAGCTCCGAACGTCTGCCTGGCGATGGTCTCCTCCACATCACAATGCTCGACGACTCGACGACCCTGTGACCTTGATCCCTGAATCTGCGAGGACTTGTCACGTGTAGTCATGGTCGACGCTGGAGCCCAGAACCCTGTGCACAAGCGATCGGGCATCTCAACGCGGAGTCCTGGTCTGGCGCCGTTGCCCTCCTCCACCTGCCGTGAGGCCAAAGCTTCCGTTGTCACGCATTGGTGTGGCCAAATCTTGGCATCATGCCAGGCCTCCAATTGAGGCCTCTAGTTTCACCTCACTCTCTCCCTGTCTCCCTCCCTCTCCCCCTCTCTCCGTCTCGCTTGCTTGCTTGCAGCGCACAAGGGGCATGTTCTCCCACTCTTTCTCCCTGTCTTTCTCTCTCTCTTGTTCTTCTTTTTCTTCTTCTTCTTCTTCTTCTACTACGGGGCTTGAAGGGCCCAGGGGACCCTCCGCGCGCACGGGCGCGCCCTGGTCACTCAGATCCGTTGGCTGGTGAGATTCTCTCTCTCTCTCTCTCTTTCGCTCTCTCCTTCCTGCAGACTTAGTGTCAGCTGTCAGCCCCGCGTGGGCCCGGCATACACCAGGAATCCTAAATCCCCAAAACATCGCCCCAAAGCCTAATCTTAAAATGATCTCTCAGATCTGGACCACCCCGGCAAAACACCAAGCGACTGAACACCTCGCCACTTGCCGCCTAAAGGAACCCCCTCGATACATTTTGTGGCACGCGTAGTCCCCTAGACAGCAGGAGCCCAAACTAACGGTTAACTTACGAAAGTTTATAGGACCCAGCAGCGCCTCCTCCTCTTGGCCGCCTTTCCTGCTCCAGGCGGCCACGGTTCCCAGCAGGTCCTGGCAGCTCAAATGGGGCGGGTTCGGGCCCCAGACAAAAGAAGTTAACAAGTTCTACGACCCCTTATTGAACCACTTGTGGAGGGATCTAGCCTTTACAGATCATGATCTTTTCAACTCTGCCCAGAATGGTTTTCCCAGCTCCAGACTCAGGGTGGATTCGGGTTTCGATTCCCTTCCGTCCTAGGGTTGACGACTCATTGGGTCATGGGTCGAGGGCCGCCAATCTTTTTCAAACCGGACCTAAGGACCCCCGCCGAAGCCCCAAACCCTAAACCGTGGAGTTTGCGCACCCGGGGGGCTAGGACTGAGCTTTGAGTGCACAAGAGTGTGGCTGATCTTGGAAGAGTACGAGTCCCAGATGCTTCAATATCGTTTGGGGGAGGAGGTAACCCTTACGGCGGGATGTTTAGTGTTTAGGGCTCCGGGGTCTAGGGTAGTTTAGGGGGTGACGTCTTCTTGTTATCCGCATAGCTGGTCGAAACACTCAGCAGAGACTGTCCCAGAACTGGTTTGGAAGGTCCTTGACCGTCTTGACCCTCACACTCGCGCCAAGAAGGCAAGGCAATGAAAGGTCTCGGATCGTCCAGCACTCTACTCTTTAGGGTTTAATCTAAGCACATAGAAATGGGGGAATCCTGAAATTAGGGTAGGTCGTTCCAGGGGAATCTTAGTATTTGGGTGTCTATAGCAACATTCTGACGGATGATCTCCCCGCCATGGCCTCAATGTCCTCGAGATAGAACTCGTCCACCGGGAAGGTTCGCCTTTCAGGGTGTTAGGAGGCGTTTTTGGAGGCTTAGTGTTCGGAGGCTTCGGGTCAGTTGTGACACTGACTGCTTGGCGGCACACTCAAAGAGGGCCACCGACAGCTAGGGGGCTCAGGGTGTATCATTTCGTAATTGCACATAGTGAACGTCGCCTCACCTTGGGCAGATGTTTGCTCAATGCGTCGTTATACTTTCTAAGCCTAGGAGGGCTGTGCAAACAAAAACCGACTTGCAATGGGTGAAGTGATTGCAGGCATGTCTTCGGTGTTCGACTCCAGATTTCCCCGGCAGCTCCTTGAGCTGAGAGTGCCAATCTTCCTACGAATTCTCCGGCTTCGTGTTTAGAGTGGGGCTTGTAGCGCCTCAACTTCTTACTCGTGCACTCCTTGCTCAAATTGGCGCTGTCCAAATCCTAAGCCCCAAATATCGGCTTCTTCACACCCTAAACCTAAACCACAAGCCCAGTCCAGCGAGCTATGGCCCTGCCCTGAGCCCCTAAGCCTTATCGTAACAGTCCTGAATCGGGATTCTGATAGGGGGTACTATAAACCCTAATTTGGACTGGTAGTCTAAGGGGGAGCATCCCAACCCTAAGCCCGAAACGCTTGGAAACTCCCGGAGTCCCCCTCAGACCAAGGCGCCCTGGAATCTTGAGCACCGGAGGTGGCGATCTGAACAGGCCAGCCTCAAACACCCCGCCGGGGCTTCGGAGTTATTGAGGGCTTTGGGCCCCCATGTTGCATCCGCGCTGCGAAAGCTCATGAATCCCCGTGGCCCTGAGCCCTAACACGATAAGCTGACATAATCCACAGATTCTAGCAGGGGTAGTTTCGTACGAGTAGGTTGGCCCTTGAAACCCTCAGAAAAAGTCTTCCTAACGATTATCCTCTTTTCAACCCAACCGGTTCAGTGCCCTCAAAACATAGTACTTCCAATTTATGACGATAATTCTCCTACTTACAATATCCTTACTTGCGACCAGTTTTCTGAGGGTGATCTGTCGGATCTGAGTGCAACAGCTCAACAACCCCATATTTACCCAACAAATCCTTAATTGAGGAATATCCCCTCAGT